GGTTTTCTCTAACGAGCTAAAAATCAGAACTAACAAATCTTGAAAAACAAAACAAAAGAAAAAAAATCAAAAAATAATTCCTCTATAAAAATCAATGCAAACAATATAATTTAATGCAACGAGTAGGTATAAAAAGAAAAAAAGAAAAGAAAAATAAGACGATAGAATTCGATATTCCTTGGCAATGGTGAAAAATAAATATGACAAGTCGTATGTATGAATTTCCTATTCGCCGATATTTCCTTTCCAAGCGAATCCGGCGATGGGTCGGTTGGCTTGGAAGGGATAAGGGCGTGCCTAGTCAGACAACAAAAATACGGACTATCTTCGTGACCAGTTTGCACATCGTAACTCGTAACGATCGTGGATTGGCAAGTTCCATTGGTGTGTATCCTTCGATTTGACCATACTCGAGGGTACTATTGTCTGTACCTTCTGAGTACACAGCTCGAACTTGATTCTCTCAAATGATATTGGAGAAAAATATTGAGAAATATCGGGTAAGGATATTCTATACGATAATCGAGAATGACGTTGCAATAATCAAATTCGTTCGAGTTATTATCGTTACTGGTAATACAAATTTTCGAAAGTCATTCGATCAATATTGAAATGCTTTCAGAGCGAATCTCTCTGAACGTTTAGTTTTTATTTTTATTTTTATTTATTTTTATTTTTAGTCTGACCGATGTGCCATGCATTGACCATTTGTATTCCAACGAGATCAATCGTTGTCAAAAATCTCGATGACCTTGACGTCTGGCTAACAACCTTTTTGTCACTTATCTTCGTCGGTGAAGATTTTTTTATCAGACAGGATTGACGTTTCGTAATATTTTATTATAAATGTTTTTTGAGATTTTTTTAAAGGATTTTTTAAAAGGTTTTTTCTTTTTACGAATGAAAGTTCGTTGAATGATAAATGTATTGAAGTATAATTGAACATATAAGCATGAACAAGTTACGCATACAATGTTTGATTCGTTTCTTTTCGTAGACAAAGTATCTCGACAAAATTCTTACTTAAAAATTAATACTTAAATATAAAAACAAATCATGTCGCAGTAGAGCACAAGCTCTTTTTTCTTATTATTATTATTATTAGATTCCTCGTGAAAAGTCACGAGGATTGTCCAAAATGAAAAATTTTATTGTCGAAAGACGAAGACGATTCTCGTCGTGCAAGGATTCGAAAATATGCAAGAGTACTTTGTTCGACGAGTTTCTCTGTGTATCTAACGAATGATGCGCGAGGAGAATACATCGTTCAGGAGAATAAAATGAAAGAAGAAGAGATAGAAAAAAAAGAAAAGAAAAGGCGATTAAAAATGACAAATAAAATTATAAGTCGACAGTTCTCTGCTACGTTGGTTCACAAAACGCGAATAGAAAAATTTCGACGATGGGGTATTGGTGTGGGGTGGATATTTCTGTTCGTTCATCGATCGTTGTGTTTTAGCGTAGAGTTCAAAAGATGAAAATCTAATTTGATTCGGTTCTAAGGAGAATCCTTGATGAAAAAAAAAAATCGTTTGAGAATGTCAGTTCTGAAGTTGTGCCAATATAATAATTGGAAATGGATTTTTCAACAATTATAGCGGTTGGGCGATGTTTAATTAGCGATATAATAAAATACCAGGAGTGCCATCTATGTAGGTGAATACAGTACGAGATGCAGAACGAGATTCGGGTTTTTCGATGAGGTTGAGCGTTTTCGGAACCACGGGCGTTACTACGGGTGTTGTAATAGCAGGATAAAGTGGATATGGTACCAAGTAGTGAAAGCCTTCAGGTGCTTGTAGATCAATCAATTGTCTACCCTGCTTGGCTTCGTTACTTTTTTGGGGATCAGACAATTGTTTTTCTTCGGCGGATGACTCTACTTTTTGGGTAATTTTTGTTGGTGTCGATAATTCTTTGGCATGTATAGCTTCAAGAATTTCTTGACTAGGTGCTTTGATATTTTCCTGCGAGGATTCCAATTTCTCTGAAGATGCTTCCAACTTCTCAGATTTTTCCGGCAATTGTAAGTTTTCGGGTACTGTTAATGGTACTGTTGGAAGAATAGGAGACCCTTCTGCTACTAAAGGAACGCTTGGTCCTGGTGCTGTATGGTGAATGATCGAATGTCCGTGAGATTCGATTGTTTTTTCAGCGATAATCGTTGCAGCATTTTCTACTTGTGCTACATTTTTAGGTTTAACTTCTACGCTTGGTTTCGCCAACGCAACGGCTAACAGACCGGACAGGACCACCTGTTAATAAAATAGATTTTACTTCTTTCTATTTAAACATTCTTATGTTTAGGAAAAATTTCCTTAATGACCATATTTCATTTAAATTTCTCATCCGATAATAATCTCATCACAGATTTATCTTTTGAATTGTAAAGTTGTAAAATTGAATATTGATAATCGAAAATCTTTAACACTTTTGTTTATTAGAATTCGGATTTTCTGATAGAAAAAAAATAATGATTGTTTTGAAATCGACTTACCAACTTGAACATGTCGGAGCTTCTTCGTTTTCCAGCTGCGCTTTGAGAATCTGCGACTGATCTGCTCGAATGAAATTCTCCAAGGTTTATATAGTAGAAGACTTCCTTGCTCTTCGAAAGACCTTCGGATACAGGTCTGTTCAGTAGTTACACCCTGTTTCTGGTTCTATACTACAGCTTCGTCCGGTCGAGTACTTTTTAATTGACGAACCCCGATCGGGTTTGTTAATTGGATTTTACGTAAGATTAAAAAATTTAGACACACAAGAGTATTAGAAATTTTCTTGCATAGAAAATCAGAGACTTTATTAGTTTTTCTATAAATCAATTCATTAATTATTATAATCCATTCGTTAAAAATAATTAGCACGTTCCTTTAATAATTTGGAAAAACAAGTATAGATGGTTAATTATAAATGTCGATAATTGGATAGTGACATAATGCGAGTAAAAAATATTACAAATTTATTTGAACGCATTGTAGGTAGGTCATTTTTCACCCGGGTGCATCTGAATAGAACTTAAACACTGTGATAATAATAATAATATAATATTGTTAATAATAATATTTTATAGTTTGATAACGTTGAAAATATGTTTTGGAATTTAAGTCAATCATATATAAAAAAATAATTTCTGCAAACAATATACGAAAAACGTATTATACGTGTCTCGCATACAATCCGTTTAAATTTATTTATATATCATTAATTATTTTTTCCTTTTTTGATTTAATCCATTCTCATAATTATCAGTACAATTAAATCTACAATGACTTTATAAAAAAGAAACAATGAGTTTATAAAATGTAAGGGTCGTTGACCGAAAGTGTGTGTGCGTGGCTATATCGAAGATATTCATTCGCGTCTGAGAACATATTCAAGGTCTTATTGAAATTTCGATCGGATAGGGCGATAATCTTCTTCTAGTTCCATGTCATTAATTAATTTAAAATTAAAATAGATTTTTCAAGACGTTGGTTTTCTTCTCCTCGTTATCGGTTCACTAGGATATCCTGTTAGTTCACGTTAGTATAGCTCGCGTTGATTTTTCAGCGAATCGTTTCAGTAGAGTAAAACCGGACCTCTTTCTCTCTCTCTCTCTCTCTCTCTCTCTCTTTCTTCCTCTCTCTTTCTTTCACATTTTATTCCTTCTCGCATACCTCCAATGATTTTTCCACCAGGACCAATCTTCCTTGCCGCTCTTCGTTTCTCTGCAAGGTCTGCCATTTCGTATTTATTTCCCTCATGTTCGTAACTTTTATTGTCTTTATATTCACGCTTCGCGTATTCCGGTTTCTTTTTTTTTTTTATCTTTGACGACTCGCTTTTCTACTTTCGTTTATCTTTCAGAATAATCGTTGCTCGTGTAAACCATTTTTTTTATTGTATATCCAAAAAAGAAATCTCCAATTTTTCTATTTGTCCGAAAGAAAAAATGACGAAATCCTGTGACCGAATCAAAAGAAATTTATAATTTGTATTAGAATTTATATGAATATTGATTACTGATAGTTAGAAACATTTGATTGATTTAATATTTTTTTGCTTTTTTTTATATTAAAAGAGCATGAATACAAGAATTCAATGAAGTTACGGAAAGACATATGGTAGACATGTTGATGGGACTTGCGCTCGAGTACACATCTTCATTAGAATTATGAATACATTTCGGATCGATCCAATTGCGTAACTTTTATTACGTAATTTATCGAAAATGCGTATGTACTTGGTCGGAGGAAGCGTTCAAATGTATTCACTCAGTCGCCCTCGTATTAATACGATGAGTTATTGATATTATTACGCAATAGTACTTTAAACATTCATTAAAAAACAAATTAATAGCCTATTATCCTAGATGTTGTGAATCGTATCGAACGAATATATGCATATCTATGTGTGTAATGCACGTATTTGTTTTATATTGTAGATAGATCCAACAAACGACATTAGAATGAAAATGTCCGAATAGTGTTCAAAGATGTTGTGTGACTAGAAGAATAAGAAGTACGACGTTACGAGTCACGAAATCAATCGTATTTCGATTCGCGAATTGGTCAATCTTAATTACGTAAGCCCGTGGAATATTCATTCTTACGGCTCGCATGAATTTTCTTTAAGGCAATAGATAGAAGAGCTTAGATAAATGTGCTTATAGAAATGATCAAACTCGATAACAGGATGAAAAGGGATTCTGATTTTAGCTAGGAAATCTAACGATGAGAGGGAGAGAAAAAAGTTAAAAAAAGAAAAAAAGGAGATGAGGGAAAGATACAAATAACAAAGAAATACAAGATAATTTTGTGAGGAGATAGAAATAGAATTTTATTGATCAATCGTTAAATAATATCAACGAGCGATGATGTTCTAAGTTTCGCCAATGTCTCGTCAAAATGTTCAAAATGGTTGTCTCATCAGTAACAGTCGGTTTGAGGTGTCCTTTTGACTAGAGAATCGGAGCCGAAATTGTTCTTCTCCCTCTCCAGGCTAGGCCAGGTCGTCTCTCAATGAACGTATCCAGCGGCATAGGTAATGGCGGCGGGATGAGCGACGACAGCAGGTGCAGCCGCGAGAACGGGGGCAGTTTTGACGATGGGGGCAGTATAGGTAATAGGAGCTGTACGAGTGACGACTGCTGCTGGGGCGGCTGCTACCACGGCTGGGGCGGCTGCTACCACGGCTGGGGCAGTTGCTATGAGCGGGCTTTTAACCGAGACCTTGTAGGTGTTGGAGTAGCTGGTGGCGACTGGAAGAGTGTGGGGAATGGTCACTACAGGGGCTGATGCGACCAAAGGTGCGGCATGCACCGATGTTAAGTAGCCTGGTGCTGGTGCTGGTGCACTAGCAACGCAACCAATGAGAGCGATGAGTACAGCGAACTTGTACATGGTTATTCTTCTTCTTCTTTAACAGTCGAGACTATCGAAACTTCAAACGTTGCTTGAGAACGAGTGATGTCTGACTACCAGAGTAGTCGCCCTTTTATTCGAAGAGACTGACCTCTCCCACCAAAACTCCCGAATGACTTTACTGCGAGTCCTGTTGCTACCTCGCTCTACCGTTTACCACTCCTGTATGACTTCCTCCTACTTTTTCTTACATTATTCTCTTTCCCTCTCTCTCTCTCTCTTTCTTTCCTTTCGATCTCCTTCAGGGTCTTTCAATACCTGTCGATTTTTTCTCTACGCTAACTACCACGTTCGTGAAACATTGCCAAGGACCAATAACAGCGACCCTTTACGATCTTCGATGGATCCGGGATCGTTATCGGTTATCCTACGCCTATCTCTAAGCTTAGACAAGTTGAAAAACACGTTCTTCTTACTTCCTAGTCTCATGAAACCTAAAGTCGATGTTTATAAACACCTCGGGCGTTGAAATCACTTTACATTGATTCTAGTTTGCTTGTTAAACCCATATTACAATTCTTGTATAACTCAATAGTATAATGAATATTTATCATGATAATTTTATTGATGCAGAATTAGAAATTAGACCAATTTATTGATCATTTAAATAATATTTGATAATCTGATAATCGTATAGGTTAAGCCAGGTGGAACGTTCTTTTGAAATGATCAGCGTTACATAATTATTATAATATAAAAATTTGCATAATAATAAAAAGGTAAGAGAAAGATATTTCGTGTGTAATCGTTGGTTGTATGCAAATGGACGTATGACAATGATTAGTTAGACGAACGAGGGTGATGTTAATTAAGTGGCACGATTTTTGTCGTAATCGTTAATTTATTTTTGGCGACAGGATAAAACACGCATGGATAGCAAGAACATTATTTGTATTTATTATTCGCTTATTCCGATCAGTTATGTACACGATATTGAGCAACTTGGCAACGCGAGACTACTTGAACGCCTACTTACGAGGACATTGTCGTCTCTAGGAGGGTAAAGGAGGGAGGGGCCACATTACAGGAGACCTCGTGTTGTGACACAATCCGCGAAAGTAGATGCTCGACTTACTTCATTTTTCACGTAACGCATGTAACCACGTGCTTTGGAGAAAACCTTTCCATTTTTTTTCGAATAAAAGAGAGTCTCTTTCCTTTTTTTCTTTGTTTTTTTTTACGTTAACTCCTCCTCCCCCTCCCCCTCCTCCTATTTATGCTCGTTATTTTGAGCGTATTATAATTATCTCGTTAAATGGCATGACCACGAAAATACGTATGAATATTAATTCGTTCGAAAAAAGTGATATAATTTCTGTCGAACATTTGTGGGTAGGTACCTCGAGAAAAATGGGAACGCGTGCGCGTGTTAGTCGAGTATCGTTGAAAAAAATCAAAAGAAGATGAAAATATATGTGTATATATTAAAGTCATTAAGGAGAGAGAAAAGAAAACGAGACGAATCACGAAATGTAAAGGAGAAGAAGAAGAAGAAGAAGAAGAAGAAAAAGAAGAAGAAACGGTCACGGTCGTAGAGACTCTCTCGTGTACTTACTGTCGAGGCAGCCCCTTCTCTCTGATTTAAAATGTTACACATTTTCGCAACGTACATCGTACACGCTCCGTTTTCTCCACGTCTATCTCTTTCTCCCTCTCTCTCTCTCTCTTTCTCTGTCTTGCTACACGATCTTAATCTCCTAATCGACGAAATTGTAATCCGGAAGTCCTTGGCCCGGTAGTCTGCGCCGACCGGGCAGGCGTTCATCGAAGAACCAGTTTTCTTGGTTGTTTTTTTCCTTCGATTTTAGGGGCGTGGATGAGGTATAAAAAGATTGAATCATTTGGGAATGGCATCAGTCAGTCGATCGACACCGCAGTCACAAGTCTTCTTTAACTAGTAGAGTCGAGATAACTAGCAACCATGTACAAGTTCGTAGTATTTGCCGTGCTCGTAGCCTGCGCTGCAGCTGCACCAGCACCAGCACCAGAACCAGCACCAGGATTCGTAGCTGCTGCACCAGCCGTGGCTTACTCGGCTCACCCAGCTAGTCTTACCTATGCTGCACATGCACCAACATTTACCTACGCCGCACACGCAGCCCCGGTTGCTTATACCGCTCATGCAGCCCCAGTTGCATATGCCGCACATGTAGCCCCAGTTGCATACACCTCTCACTCTTCTCATCTGACTTACGCCGCACCAGCCGTCAGTCTCGTTCACTAGATCACCGGTATACGCTGATCAAAGGATGAACGATCGAAATGGATTGGAACGACGTTTAAAAGAAGAACATGACTACGATCGACATACTTGTCTTTTTATATTTGTTTTCTTTTTTTCAAATTGCACCATGAATCTTGATCTTGTATAACGTTGTTGGAAATACCTTACGATTATGTCAAATATATAATTAATGTTATCAACGCATTTCATTGTGATCTTGGCTTTTTATATTTTCATATCTCTTTATCCTTTATTTTCCTTCGTTTTAAATTTGGGATATCGGTTTATTGTTTTTCTTTTGCTATATTTTGATTATTGGCAAAATGAATGATATATACACACGATATCTGTTAATTTTAATAAAGAAATTAAACATAATTAATACGTATGTAATTTGAAATGTTGGATTTATCTATCGATAGGATTGAGTATCCTTTTATAGACCTTGTTAGAATAAAGTTAAACGTTAACAGCATTTTGCGAAGGAGCTACAAAAAGATTTTTCCATCGGTCTCGTTAAAAAAAAAAAAAACGAATTTCGTTCGCATGTACGTGGGAAAAACTCGTGTGAATAAGATTTGTTATTAACGAGGGGATCGTTCAAAGGTATAAGGACGTCTTCTGCATTAGCATACGTTCTCTCGTATCTCTCTGTAAGGGACAATCTTTGTTCACCTGAGACCTTGATTATTACCAATACTTAAAAAGAAAATTTTGCCCTTCGATTTATCGAATAAGGAGATCTGGGTGGAGCCGATCTTGTTCCAATAAAGTCTACGTACTGTAGCAAATAAACGTGAATTTCGTTTAATCGAGGTATTAATATTTAATCTTTTTTCTTTTTTGGCTTCTCGAAATGTCTTCTCATTTCGATCGTACCTTTATATAAAGGGATTTTATAATCGATTTCAATCATTTTTAGTCTATAATAGTATATTAATTAAAACTAATTATAAATTTATTTAGATATCGTGCAAGTTAAATAACCAATAATTTCATTAGTAATACGTAACTATTATACTGTTATTTTCTGACAGCTCTTCTATCACGTTTTATAAAATTTTCATACATTATCTAGAATGTTTTTGTGTTTGTCGAGTAAGAATATTTGGAAGATCGTTCTCAAGGAACAATAATTAAATATCATATCCCTGATCGCACACAGATGACTTTCGTCGTGCTTGAATGATCTTATCGATAAACGAAAAGGTTAACAAACGTCAAAGATCATGGTAGATTTGAGTAGATGGATAGTAAAAAAGTAGATTTATCTCGATCGGATGTCAACTATCAATCTTTTGAAGTTGCTTACTTTCGGTCGAATAACATGCTATTATTTGACTTTCGTTCCATTTACTCGCACGAATGAAACTCGCTTTGTTGTGCAATCGGAGAAGAGTATAATATTTCAGTCGTGTCGAAAGGATTCGAAAATTCATTGATTTTAAGGCTCGATCGGTTATCAGTAATCATCGGATAATAATTGGTAGTAATAATGATAATAATGATGATGACTAATTCGTTAATTTATTCATTACTTCGCAATCAAATGAATATCAATATCGAAATTTCATTTCAATTAACCTTTAATATTTTGATGCATTCGTTTTTAATATGTGAGTGAGTTGAAACACATCGACTAGTGAACTACAAAAAGATGTAATGGCGTGTACATTACGTTAATTGTTATATAAAAAAGATGACTAATTGTAATTTTGATCTTATAAATAAATAAATGAAAACCAAAAATACGTGAAAAGATAAAAAAAAAATGTTTCAAAATATTTTCTTAGCTCGTAAGAAAATTCGATTCGAATTAATCATTGGAATGTTTTGACACGTTTGATCGTACGATTGCGCTTACGTTACGTAGATCGACAGTTAAAAGTAATGAACAATCTTGATACCATAATACGAAGGAGAGAAAAAATAAAAAGATCGATCATGAAGTAAAATGCGATCGAAGGAGCGAACTTCCCCTCATCCTTGACCGACTTTCGAATTTCGCTTCTTTCGTTGTCGTCTATTTCATCTCCGCCTTTGTTTTTTTTTCTTATTTTTTTTTATTTTTGAAACTCGTGGCGCAGCTTGGTAACTTTTGACGTGTAGAGTGAAAATCGATCGATAATGTAAGATAAGCCTATAAAACACTACCGTGTTTTCTAATGATATTCGAAACTACAATGGTTTCGTTTAAATTTTCTTTCTTTTTTCTCGTCGATAAAAAACAAAAAATATAATATGTCGCTCGCAATAAAGAACAGTGGTAAAAGGGGGAGGGGGGAAAGAATATGAAGAAATAGAGAGAAAAAATAACAGAAGAGATGCGAATAGTTAACGAGAAATTAATTACACATGCACGATATATTATTAAATATTTTACATAGTTCTTTTTTTGGGGGATTGGGTTTGGTGGTAATTGTGGCAGTGTGTGATGTTAGGTGGAGTTCAGTCGTCGTACGTATTATGTACAATCGTTATATATATATAACTTATATATATATATATATATATCTTTCGTTAATGGAAAGAACCGATCGGGGCAGATCATTGATGCATTTGGGTTTCAATTTCAATGATAATAACCACCGTGGCCGTATCCGTATCCGTGTCCAAGTCCATATCCGTATCCCAGACCATATCCAAGAGAATGGCCGTAAGTAGTGACCGAAGGTGGGATACTGTATCCGTGGCTATAACTGATAGCTGGAGCAACGGCTGGAGCAGCGTAAGTTATTGTGGGTGCGGCATAAGCAACTTTGGTTACCGCAGGCGCCGCAACCGCAACTTTGGTCACCGCAGGAGCCAAAGCGACCTGAAGAAAATAAGATAAATGAGTCATTTTATTGTATGTCTTGATATTTCTTTCACTTCTTGAGATTACTTTCCTTTCTCGTGTAAAATTTCTGTAGATACATATATGTATTATATATATATATATATATATTTAACAAAAAAAATTCTATTTTGTTTACCTTATACGTGTTTGCATAGCTAGTCGCGACAGGTGCATGGTAAGCGAGTCCTGATGAATAAGCTGGTGCAATTCCAACCCCATGGCCTAAACCATATCCGCCATAACCGTAGCCACCGTAACCACCATAACCGCCGTGTCCGTAGCCTCCATATCCACCGTGTCCGTAGCCACCGTAACCACCGTATCCACCATAACCGTAGCCACTGCCGTATCCATTGTATCCCGTGTACAATCCAGCGGAGGCATAAGCCACGAGTGCTGAAAGAATGAGCTGAAAAAAGATGCGCGTGTTTCCGTATTATTCTTTTCTTTAACTAACGAAAATTACGATAAATATAATATTTTGATTGAATCCTTTTTAAGTTCATTTAATTTCACATTACGTCAGGTTATAAACATTTTTATTAATTCAATAAATGTACTGTGTGCCCGCCAGCTATATATGAAAAGTTCACTTTAAATGTTACGAATTACTCACGTCATTCTTCAAGCCATTTAAAACACGAGCGTTCTACATACAATCAATGAGATGGCTTTATCATTACATGCGATACCAGTCACGTTCTCGTATATGTATTATATTTTACTTTCTCGAAAGTAAAGAAAAATTTGCAAGAACAACGTAACTCGATTCATCAATTATTAACCTACTCGTTATCGTAAGCGTCAATGTAAAACAATGTTTTTACATTTATATCAAAATATTGTAGAATTAAAATAGAAAAAAAAGAAATCTTTCTAAAATAATATTTATAATTTCTTTTTTTTCGCGATAGTATAGAAACCTACTCACCAACTTGAACATGTTGTTTGATATGAAATGTTGTCAGTAGGTATCGTAGACCAACTAAAGAGCGTTCCTAGTGTATCACTTATATACCCCCAGCAAAGCATTCTCTTTCTTCCTTCATCTCATTCCGTTGGTGTTTGTCTAGGCGTTAAACACGGGGAATGGTGGAAATATGAAAAAAAAGCATTTCCCTGTGCGTGCGAGTTGAGGCAACAACGAATTTGTAAATGCATACGTGTATGGTACATATTGCAAGGGATCTGAAGTGTGTTGGGGCGGGGTAGCTAGCTCACAGGATAGATAGAGGCCTATAGTTCTTTGGTATTGGTAAATAGATACACACGTTCACCTAGATTCGACGAGGTCTCTACGATCCGTGGATTTCTCGATGACCTACGGAATGTGGAGGTGGTTTTGACGAAGGACGAAATCATTATCGCTATGCGGACTACCGGTGTAACACTAGGGGAACACAAATCCCCTCGTGAGAAGAACTTCTTACAGCTAGTTACCTTGACAGCTCGATGTTATGGCTCGAAAACGAAGAAAGAGATAGAAAATACATCTGTCTATGTTTCACCGCAAGTACTTTTGTGTGTATGTGTGTGTGTGTATCTATATCTGTATCTGTGCGCGTGTTCTCAAAGAAAGACATCTCCCCACTATGATGTTTTCCCGCTACTTTGCAATGCTTTCAGTAATTATCTACGCGTCTATGATCTTGTCTATGTTCCCTCGAGCGTGAAGAGGACTCTATCGAAAGAGATAAATAGAGATAGAAAGAGAGAGAGAGAGAGAGAGGGAGAGAAAGAGAGTGTAAGAGAGATCTCAACTAATCGGATGTAGAATAATCGTGCATCTACGTTGCCTCGAGTCAAGATTGATCTTCGATCGAACGCGAATACGTACGTTCTTGATCTTTGACGGATCAAGCAGGATCTTCGATCAGTGAGAAATTTTTCGTGTCCTCATCTCGAAGGTTGTGTGTTCGATTTTTTGTTCAATTTTAATTACTATTTAGTGACGCGAAATGGGGTAATATCGTTTGATCGTGTGACAATCGTTTTTCTATAAATCGTATTATTTTTATTCTCTATAAGGCCGATGTAAATAAATTTATTATTTCATAGATAATAATTGTTGAAGACGGGGTGATCTTATCGTTCGCGATTGTCAATCGCGTTTTAAACGACGTGTGTCGCGAGGAACGCGAGGGGAAATGAGAATTTTTCATGGTAAGGACAAGGTATCTACTCATGTTTTTCTTGGTAACTAACGGCGTAACGCGACCACACCCACTCATTAACATTTACGATATTCTTCGTGCGATTTTAAATAATAACAATGAATGTACGCATCGGTAATCAAGTATTCTTAGTAATTCTATCCGCGCATGTTATTATTAAATAATAAACGAGGCCTATCGAGGACGCTGTGAAAACGATAAATGTATTTTTCCTTTATCGATCATCGTGTGAAAAAAAGGAAAGAGAGAGAGAAAGAGAGTGAAAGAGAGTATGCATCATCATCAAAGTTCTTCTCGATCATTTACAAATGAAAAGTCTATTGTGACGAAATCATTTATTCTGTACAGTATGTTCGTTGCATTTAATAACAAAATAATAATTGATGAACGACAGACAGTTTTTACTCGTACGAACAGTTTTTCTTATTTCGAGTATGATACATGTGATTAAAACGATCGCTAATTGTGGAAGAAGGAAAATCTAATAAAAAGAATTAATTGTCCGCCCCTTCACCCTCCTCCTCCTCGTCAAATTCACCATCCTCTTCTGCCGTAGCTTCTTGATATTGCTGATACTCCGATACCAAATCGTTCATGTTGCTTTCGGCTTCCGTGAACTCCATTTCGTCCATTCCTTCGCCAGTGTACCAATGAAGAAATGCTTTGCGCCTGAACATGGCCGTAAATTGTTCAGAAACTCTTTTGAAGAGTTCCTACAATTTGTGAAAAGAAATTGACAAATGAAATGAAATTGTTTTATAATTAATTGATGAAAAAAAATGTTGTTAATGCGATAAAGTAACCTGGATGGCCGTAGAATTTCCAATAAAAGTCGCTGACATTTTTAAACCGCGCGGTGGAATATCGCAAACTGCGGTTTTAACGTTACTCGGTATCCATTCGACGAAATAGCTACTATTTTTGTTTTGGATATTTAACATCTGTTCGTCCACCTCTTTCATCGACATTCTTCCACGGAAAACAGCAGCTACGGTGAGATAACGACCGTGTCGAGGGTCACAGGCAGCCATCATGTTTTTAGCGTCGAACATTTGTTGGGTTAACTCTGGGACAGTTAATGCTCTGTACTGTTGAGATCCTCTGTAATAAAGTTCTTAAGTTACGACGAGAATAATCGTATAAATGCATTTTTATCGAATAAATAATAACTATCTCTTGAGGTTAACCTTGAAGTTAAAGGCGCGAAACCAGGAATGAAGAAGTGTAATCGTGGGAAAGGTACCATATTGACTGCTAGTTTTCTCAAATCTGCATTTAATTGTCCAGGAAACCTTAAGCAGGTTGTAACACCGCTCAATGTTGCGCTAACCAAATGATTTAAATCACCATAAGTAGGTGTACTTAATTTAAGTGTCCTGAAGCAAATATCGTAGAGCGCTTCGTTGTCTATACAATAGGATTCGTCCGTATTCTCAACAAGTTGATGTACGGAAAGAGTGCAGTTGTATGGTTCGACGACTGTGTCCGACACCTGTAAAAGAAAAAGAAAGATTAAAAAAGAAAGAAAAAAAGAGAGAGAGAGAAAGAGTAAGCGTTTGATGCAACAGCATTTAATACACGGATCACGTTTAAACAAGTAGATTCTTACGTATATCTAAACGGACGAGTTAATAATATATTCAGTGATTACATTCGTCCTGTTATGAATGTACAATATTATAAAATATATTATTAAGTTGTTTGGAAAGTTCGTGCCGATTTATACGTATGCATATATATTCGATTTAGATGGTAATATTATATATAATGCATAAATTTGTTTCTAAATCGGGACGAACTTTACACTTCGCGTTATATTTGCTTAAAACAAATAACACGAATTTATTGACCAATTTAATAAATCAGCATGAATTATCAAAAATAATTTTGGAAATGATTTAATACCTTGGGAGATGGTACCACGCTAAAGGTCATCATAATCCTATCCGGATACTCTTCTCGAATTTTGGAAATAAGTAAGGTGCCCATACCAGCACCGGTTCCACCACCAAGCGAATGAGTTAATTGAAATCCCTGAAGACAATCGCAACTTTCAGCTTCCTTGCGGACAACATCGAGGACGGAATCAACCAGTTCTGCACCTTCCGTGTAATGACCTTTCGCCCAATTGTTTCCAGCACCGCTTTGCCCGAAAACAAAATTGTCCGGTCGAAATATTTGACCAAATGGACCGGATCGTACGGCATCCATTGTGCCAGGTTCCAGATCGACCAGTATAGCTCTTGGAACGTATTTTCCACCGGTTGCTTCATTATAATAAACGTTTATACGTTCCAATTGCAAATCCGAGTCACCGTGATAAGTTCCCGTAGGATCTATTCCATGCTCGTCGGATATTACCTCCCAAAACTGTCAGTTAAATTTCATTTATATGTTATCAATGTAATCGCATATATATGAGATTATTTGAAATGATTATTAATTACCTTAGCACCAATTTGATTGCCGCACTGGCCAGCCTGAAGATGAGCTATTTCGCGCATTTTTTTTTCTCTATCACTCGATAACCTAATACAATTCGATTATTCTAACGAAAGAAATCGCGAAACAAATGGATGACTTACGACACGAAAAGTTAGAGAATAAATCTTAATTGTTAAATAGAAATGGAGGAAAAAAAAATCTCGGTGAAGTTGATGATGGACGTCACGAGTTGTTTGTTTATTTTCGTCGCCTTGGATTCGTTGCGCGCGTCATATCGATGGGGAAGGGACGAGGTGGCAAAGAAGGCCACGTGATATGAGAAAGTAGATCGCTTGGCTACGTATACCGATCGTAATTAAAATAAGTTACTTGCATATATATATGTATAACAGAAAAAGAGAGAAAGAGAAATAAGAGAAGGAAGGAAAAAAAAAAGAAGAGAGAGAGAGAAATCTGTTTTCTTTTCTTTTTTTTTTTGTGGAAGGGGGGGTAGCTTTATTATATCTTTCATTTTTCATATAAATCTTATTTAATGGCGAGAGGGAGCTTCAATCATGAGAATTTTTGTGACAAGCAATTTGGTAGTCGATTGCTCGTATGAACGTACATTCACATACATATACACACACATATTATATTAAGTGCTATGCCAACGAAAAAACTGGACAGAGATAGAAGGACAAGTTCTTGTTTTTTGTACCGTGTGAAATTTTTCTTTAGTTATTACTTCTTTTTTTTTTTTTTTCCATCTCATTCGTCTCAGAACGAAGGTAACTCCTTTGAAAAGGGAGGACTTTGAACGAGAATTAAATGTACAAGGAGTTAACATAGAGTTACGAAAAAAACAAACAAAATGATGTATTATCTAGATAGACGTATATAACGTTTCGTGTACAAAACTTTTTCATCTCATCGCGATATACTATTGGATACGTGACTACAATAGTTTACGGTCATTTCTTTCCAGATAGAGGATTTTCGAAACCTTGACGGTAAATTGGATCGATCGTTTTTTCATTATGACTCTCTAATCGATATGTCGATACTTCAACTCTTGGATAAACTGTTAGGTCGTTACGTAAATGGTTGAACTTCGTTGAGTTCTTTTAATACAGGTTAATAACTTTTTGGTATCATAACTTTGGAACCTAAACTTTTAATTACCTTAAATTGTGTTTCGTATTAGTTTTTTGCCCTTGAATTTTTTTACAACTACATATACATAAATGTATTCATTTATTTGTTATGTTATCTTATGATACTCTAATCGATATTGCAACTTTTGGATAAATTGTTAGGTCGTTACGTAAATGGTTGAACTTATAGGATCCCTTTGATCAGATTAATTATTTTTTGATATCATCATTGA